TTGCTCAGGCTGGTTTCGAACTCCTGAGCTCAAACAATCTGCCCGCCTCGGCCTCCCAGAGAGCTAGGATTACAGGCGTGAGCCACCGCGCCCGGCGAATCTGCTGTTTTGACCATTTTAATGCAAACTTACTGCTATGTGCAGAGTAACTCTTTTCAGCAAAAGGCGGCTACACCAGCTTTTAACCAAAGCCCATCATGGAAGAAAAGTCTATAGTCATTAATCAATTCAAATGATTTCAGAAGATTTATAAACCTTTTGGAATTGTTAGAAGATTTATCCACTAGGAGTTTATCTTAAAAATTAAACATCCAGTTCATATTATCAATGCCACATTTGCTTGTAGGCATAAAGAAAAAAAGTGCCACAGAAGAAAGGTGGTAACTTATTACCTATGAGATTATACAGCTTTTATATAGCTCGTTGCAAAGTCACATAAATCCAGTGAGGAAACTGAAGATCAAGCTGTATGGGCCCTCTAGGTATTAGCATGTAGTCTGTCTAGGTCAAGGGAAAGACACGTTGGGGTGGGAAAGGGGAGCGGGGAACAGGGAGGCACTTAGTTGCGGAAAGCTGACAAGAAAACCTTCTCTAAATTATTTGTTAATGTCTCAGGGGAAGGTCTTCTCCAAACTATCATTTAATAGAGCCTTTGACTTTCAATAACCAACCAAATTTTTTGTTAATTTTAAATAAGGTAACTTTTAATATTATACACAAAATTTACTATTATTCAGCAAAATTTACAGAAAATACCCAAAATGGAAAATAACTCACTCTCATCATTGGTACAATCTCATGCAACGTAAGTGAAACATTTTTAAAGAGAGGCACACAAGCATTCTGAAGGCTGTGTGCTAAACTTGCCTACAGCCATGTGCTGCCTAATGACACTTTGGCCAACAATATACTGCACATTAGACCATGGTCCTGCAAGAGTATAATGAAGCTGCTCTACACAGATGTACTATTTTTTATCTTTTATACCATATTTTTACTCTACTTTTTCTATGTTTAGGTATGTTTAGATACACGAATACTTACCATTATGTTACAGTTGCCTATAGTATAGTACAGTAATATGCCGTGAAGGTTTGTAACCTAGGAGCAATTATACCATATAGCGTAGGTGTGTAGCAGGCTATACCATCTAGGTTTGTGTAAATACACTCTATAATGTTCTCGCCATGATGAAATTGCCTAATGATGCATTTCTCAGAACCTATTACTGTCGTTAAGTGACACATGACTGTATTTAGATTATGAAAGATACAGAGCCTGATTTTTCCCTAACTGGTACCATTCTGTATTCCTAACTTAAAAAAAAAAAAAAAA